ACATGTATAAGATGGGATCATTTGCATAGGTAATATAAAACCAGGCATTAAGTATAGGAGCTTGGGCTAGAACCATCCCCCTATATTTATCTTTTGCACCATGCTCACCCTCAAATAAGTGCTCCACCGCTTTGCCAATTATGGTATCTGCAAAGTTAGGATCAGGGACTGGGGATGGTTTGACTGTCTCAGAGAGCACATTCAGGGACAACACTCTTTCATCGTGGTGAAGTTCCAACCCATAGACGCAATCAATTCCATCGTATTTCACAAGATAGAGAGGGGGATTTAGAGGAACCTGATGGAGAACCGTTCCTCTCCAATGGGTGATGGGCCCATCCCCTTCCTTCCACTTGTGAGAGATTCTGCGGCCCACGATGTTCCTTTGGGCCACGGATGAAGATCTGTTCCTCTGCCTCTTCTGTGCAGGTGTTTTCTTGGTCAAGGTTGCAGTCTCGGTCTCGGCGATCTTGTCACTGAACTCATGTCCAGCAGCTGCATCTGCGGGTTCCCCTTGGGCCTCAGTGGTGCAGAAATCCTGGTTGCTGGTGCCTGGGTCCATGGCTGTGTTGGGGAAAAGGGAAGAGATAAAGGGTCAACCTACTCATGCCCCCGCCCCGCCCCGTTAGATGCCTCCACTCCAGGGATCTGTTCTCTAACCGTCTCCCACCATCACCCCCAGGAACCTGACGGCAAAGCTGGACACCTGGCTGGGTGCCTGTTGATGTGCTGTGCTCTCCTGGGTTCCCTGGTTCTGTTGGGAAGGGCTGGAGACCTTCAGCGGGGCAGCGGATATGGCACAGGATTTGGACCTCCAAGATGCCGGAAATGGCGACGCTTAAGCCCAACCGTCAGTGTCGCGCGCTCCGTGACCCGAGCCATGTGCCCTTTGCCCTGTGCCCCGCTCATCGCGCCCTGTGCCTTTGGTGGCCCTTTGGATGCAGAGCGGAGAAGAGGGGCAAAGCTCCTCTCTTTTCTCCACCTTGCCCTTCACCTCAGTGTGCTGAGCATCCAGCCTGAGGCTCACAGCTCTTGCAGACTACACAAGCCGCTCCCCTGTGCCCACCTCTGGGCTTCTTTGAGCTGGTTTCCGAATCTGCACGGCTCTTTTATTGTCCAGTTCGTGCTGTCTGCTGCGGATGTCCTCCCTGTGCCCTCTGTGTGCCCAAAGATCGCTACTCTGTTTCCCCTGCCCGCTCTGTGCCCCCCCCCCCCCGCTATGGCATGGCGCCCACCTAGAAGCTCATCTAGCCATAGGCGTCCTGTTGTGGGGTCCAGGGCTCCGCATGCCCATAGTGGACACCTTGCTGCTGCCTCTGTTTAAAGCCCGCAGCAAAGGCACCAGCCTTGGCGATGCTCCCAGAAGGCCAAAGGGATGATCCACCTGCCCTCCAGGGCTGCCACAAAGGGTGGCAGGACAGGTGACTGGAGCACCCGTGATGTCCTGAGGCTGGTGGGCTCTTGGCTTCTTCAGCTTTCCTCCCATGGAGGCAGCTGCCCTGTCACCTTGGAATTCCAGCAGCTGCTGCTCCTCTCTCATTCTGTATATTAATTTGTCTGACCCTTTATAAAAAGCTTTCTTTTGCAGGGCTTTTTGTTGGTGGTGGTGGGATTTTTTTCTTTTTTGTTCTCAATCTCTCTCTCTCTCTCTCTCTCTCTCTCTCTCTCTCTCTCTCATCTGAATCTCCTCTTGCATTTCTTTTCTGTCCAATGTTCGTTACTGTGGTTCCTTTAAAGTTCTTTGATTTCTGTTGACTTTCTCATACTCTTTAGCTCCACCTTTCTACTTTTTTGCTTCAGATACCTTTTGAAGTTCTTTAAATTATTTGTTGTATAGTAAGGTCCAAAATATGCAAAATATGCCCTTTTCTCACCCAAAAGGCAGGGCCACTGCTTTGGTCCAAAATTACACCTAAATTAAGTTCAAACTGAACCCAAGATTTCTGGCAGTTAGATAAAAGTCAACATTCTTCAGAAACTAGTGAAACTGGCTAGTCAGCTAAAAGAAGTCATTTTCTTTGCCTCTGCCTGGAGGGTCAAATGGCTCCACAGTGACAGATACCTATGTTGGCATACCACAGTCCTTGCTGGCCTTCAAGCTATGTCAGTCCAGAATCAGAGATTTGTTAAACACTTTGAAGCACCTGGCTCCTGGCCTTCCTCACTTCCACATCTATCCTAAACTGCCAGGCCTCACC